ATTACCTTCTTCTCTGGAGGTGGCTCAACAAGACGCCATGTACCTCTCTTCATGAGACTCTCAGTCTCTTCTTCTTCGGCCTTCAACCAATGCTCTCTCTCGCGACTTGCCACTGCCTCACGACGACTCAATGGCTCTCGTGGAAGGTATGACGCTGCCATGCATATTGCCTCTACCTTCTTGTGAATGCAATTCTCACTCTCCTCACACGTGCACCTTGATGACATGTCAACCATGAACGTGAAGGGCTTTTTCACTTTGCGGACTCGTTTACCTTTACCCAACTCCTCACTTGACTGAGAGACATCAGTAGTAGGGTTTGGTCTCACAGTGCTTGGATGCGTTGACACTGTCAGTTGCGGATGAGACAACGGCTGCGACGTCCGCTGCGACAGCGGCACGGCTGCATGATCTTCTCCCGGCGTGGAACTCTCTCGATTATCGGTGTTGACTTGAGGAATAGGAGTGATGGCTCGTGGCGGTGAAGCTGAAACGTTCGTCGGCATAGTTGGTTGTGAAGGTGCTCTTGGTGGGGATCTTGAGACTAGAAGCTTGGGCATTGATGATGACGCTGCGTTGTCAAGAGGTGATGATGAATGGGGCTGATTGGTGTTGTTTCTCGGTGTTGAAGATGACGGTAACTGATGACGGCCAATTCCGGGACGTGGGGGTGAAGTTGAGAAAGGTCTTGGGTGAAGAAGTGGGCTGTTGGAGCTGGTGTTGGTGGTGACTCGCTAAAGTGATCCTCGTGCTATGAGCTGGCTTGACGTTGGAACCTAAAGTGATGAACGTGTGTGAGAACGAGATGTTGCGGTGAAGGTTGTCTTGTTGGTAGGAAGAATTGTAGATGGTGTGGATGTAGGTACTTGGGGTGTTGTGGCTGTTGATTGCTGCTGCATTGGATGATGATGAGTGTCGGTAGTTGCCTCTGGAGTGGCGGCTGATGATGGGTTTGGTGGCGTAGTGGTGGGCTGATCCAATGGACGTTGAACTTGCGGAGTAGGTGTTGAAGTAGCTGGCTGGTTTGTGACAGATGGCTGCTGCTCCTTTGGTGGTGATGGAACGGTGACTTCCTGAGGTGGATGGTCTTCATTTGATGGCTGAACTTCATCTCCACTTGGTTGTGTAGCTGCTAGTGGCGCTGGTGTGGCACGGCTGGTCTCGTTGACGACGGCTTCAGGGAGATCGATGATGGGTCCGCTATGGTCAGAATCTGTGTCATCTTCTTCCTCTTGTGTTATTTCCTCAGGTGCGCTTGCTGGTTCCTGTTGGATAGAGGGTAGAGAGGAGGAAGAGGAAAACTTATGCCAACCTGCAAGGGACATGTCTTCATAGAAGACAACATCCCTTGAAACCACTTCTCGCTTGGTGACAGGATCCCAAAGGACCCATCCCTTGCTCTCATTGCTCATGCCGATGAAGAGCCCCCAATGAGTTTTGCTGTCCAGCTTGAGTCTCTTTGTATCTGGAACATGGTATTGGGCCATGGAACCAAAAACACGAAGCATAGACAGATCTGGTTTAACTCCAAACCAAGCCTCATATGGCGTTACACCATCCGGTAGGGGCCTTGTGGGTCTCCTGTTGCGAACATAAATTGCCATAGTGATTGCCTCACCCCACCAGAGCTTGTCAAGGCCCTTAAACTGAAGAAAAGTGGTAGCTATAGCTTGAATAGTGCGATGAAACCTCTCTGCCACTCCGTTTTGCTGAGGACTATAGGGACAAGTGAACTGTTGTTTGATGCCCAATGCCAACAACTCCCCCTGAAATGCTTTCCCCATGTAGTCACCTCCTCGGTCTGACCTCAAAGTGAGTAACTTCTTCCCTAACTCTCTCTCAACAAGTGCTAGCCATTGCTTGAAACACTTATGCACTTCATCCTTGGTGTTGATGAAAAAGGACCACGAGAAACGACTCTTGTCATCAATGAAAGACACCAAATATTTCTTACCGTTTCGAGTAGGGTCGCATGGGGCCGAATACATCAGTGTGGACCAACTCTAGGAGGTCCCTTGACTGAGACTTAGAAGGAAAAAATGGATTTCTTGCTAACTTACCTTCGACACAAGATGGGCACGGGACGGTAGAAAGAGACTTGACTGCACTTTCACTCAAATTAAGTCCTTCCACGCTCTTGTGACTTACTAACTCTTTGAATGCTTGCATCCCCAAGTGCCCCAAGCGTGCATGCCATACCTCAGCTTGGGAGATACTCCCTTTGTTGTTAACTTGATCGATTGAAACAGCGGGAAGCGAAATAACGTCGTTCTTCACGTTGCTAGAACCGCGCTTAATCTCCAACTTCATCTTGTAGAGACGCCCGGTACGCTCGCCTTCAGCCACCAAATTTCATGCACTATCCCACACTTTGGCTTTCTCCCCTTGCAAAAGAACAGAGGCACCTTTCTCTTCAAGTTGTCCAGCTGAGAGCAAGTTTACTCCCAAATCAGGAACAAATAAAGCTTTATTGACACAGAAAGATTTCCAATCCTTTTCAAACTCAAGCTTGCCGACTCCTTTGATAGGTACTTTGCCAAGATCAGCAAGTGTCACAGCTTTCGAGTCATACGAGGGCTGAAAATCTTTGAGAATGGACTGATAGGGAGTCATGGTTTCAGAACAGCCACTATCAAGAATAAACTCCTCACTACTAGTAGAAAAAACGTGCATGCAAGTAGCAGCGTTGAAAAGGACAGGACCATCAGAATCTTTGGACTCATTTTGACTTGTAGAATGACTTGCTATATTTGCTATGGCTGCCTTACCCTTTTCAGATAGTAGCTGAGGAGGGGGGACCCAATTTAGAGGCTTCTTAGGACAAGCATACCACGGATGACCCCACTCATGACAACAAAAACACTCAAAATTAAACTTTTTAGCATTCGAGGCTTGGCTGAAATTATTGACTCTTGGTGGATTAACTCTTGCATTCCTAGGCTGATATTGATTGGGAATAGAAGGCCTTGGCTGGACATAGGGACTTGACTTATAGGGAGGACTTGACTGAGCAAAACGAGAGGGTTTGTATGGGTTGGAAGGTGACTGAAAATTTGTACCATAGTATGGTTGAGGGCGGTTTGGGCTGAAATTTCCTTGCCTCTGGGATTGGTTGCCATATCTTGTAGCTACTGCAGCAATCCACGCACCTTTGTCACTCCGCTTGTTCCGTGCAAGGTCTCGACTCTGCTGCTCGTTGACAAGGGCCTCAAAGATGAACGCACGACTCTTCATTGACTGCGGGAGCGCTTGTAGTGTTGCACGGAAAGTGTCCCACTCCAGTGTAAGGCCGGTGAGGATGACGGTCTTGAAAAGAGACTCTGGAATCTCCAAGTCGATCGCTGCTGCTTCCTCCAACATTGCTTCAGCTCGTTGTAGGTAGGCTTGTGCTGATTCATCTTCTTCCATCTTCAGATTCATGAATCGGCTCCACATCTCGGCTTGGCTGCTCTCGAATTTTGACTGGTGCATAATCTTCAGTCGGCTCCATGCTTCCTTTGCACTGTTTGCTTTGGTAGAACAGGGTAGGAGCGAATTCAACTGCTGCTCGTGAATTCTATTGAGTAGGTAGATGAAGGCCTCCTTGTTGCGTCGTTCGTAAAGTCGTTTTTCAGCTTCTGAAGCATCTACTGCTGGTTTGGCTGCTTCTTCAGTGTAGTAAGGCCACAGATCCAGAAGGGGTGCAGTGAGCTCAAACTGAGTTGCCCATGTTGGAAAATCTTTGCCGTTGAACTTGGGGAGGTGAAGCTTAGGCATGAAGGAGGTGAGTGGTGAGTATGTTGTTGAAGGACTGCCTGGTGCAACTGCTTCCACTAATCCAGTAGCTGCTGATGTTGACTCTGAAGCTCCTCCGGCTGGGTGGAGTGCAGGACCAGATGGATTGTCTCCCGCCATGTTCGTATGGTGCTAGGATAGGAACGTGGTGGGCTAGGTTGATCGAAACGACGACCTCTGATACCAACTTGTAAAACAGAGTAGCTCTGATGACTGAAAGGCTGGAAACTTGGCTGGAAAAGCTCAACAGAGCTGCTGGACTTGGCTTGATGAGAGAAAACTTACACTATGCTCAAGATTGTACAAGCCCACTAAGGCACAACTTCTTAAGCATTACAATCATGCAGATTGATAGCTCAAACTAGGCTGCTAGACAAGGCAACTTCCTAGAGAACTTAGGCATAATTCAGATTCCATGAACCTTGAGTGACTTGAGAGCCACATGAGGTGCATGAATAAGAAAGCTCTGGAATTCTCTGTCATAGCTGATTTTGTTTGGTAGAAACCTGTAGAAACTGTTGACACTTCTTCTTGAAAACAATTCCGAACTGTATCGAGAATTCGGCTCCAATCTGATTGGTTGAGAAACTTTCTGATTTGTTTGCAAAGCCTTCAATCCGTCGCCGACATTCCCCCCTTGCTGCTCCTTGTGTGCAAAGGGCTGGGGCGGCAGAAACTTGATTCTCCAACACTTTTTAGGATAATGCAGAGAAAGTGTTTACTAAGGGTGATTCTTAGTGGGTGAGAGCAAGAGCTAAAGGAAAATCTATACGTTTCCATCATATATGCTCGATCCCATTATTCTGCCGCTTATCTTTAGTTAGGCTTAGCTCTTTTAGCAAATGCAGTCCTACAACTCCTTTTTCATTGCGTGATTCTTCTGATTCTGTGCGTGTAAATGCGTCTCGCTTTCTCACGTTGTCATCCCGTTGCCCCATGCGGTCTCTCTGCTGCGAGCGTGACTCCCCATCGCCTTGTCACACTAGCGTCACGCCTTTTGCTCTTAGGTCCTGTCTGTCCTTCCACCATGTCACTCTCTAAGGCCACACAAAGGCTTGTCGTTCTCTGGTGAGCTCTGTCGCCTCCCCGATTTTCACACCCCTCGTTTTCGCACATCAGCCACCACCCACCATGATGCGGTCGACATGCTGCGAGCTTGCCTTTGGCACCAAATCTTCCACCACCTACTACTGCCGCCCCCACAAGTGGACAAACCCGAAGGCACCATGGGTGCCACGGGGTTTGAAAGGCTGAAGTATGACGTTTCGAAGAAGGAATCAGACGACCGATCGGAGTTCCTGAAGATGTTCTGTGACCCTAATTCCTCCGCTGCCGATCAGCATGAGGATAATGCCAGAGGCTATGGCTCCTCCTGGCCTCTGCTCTGCTGCGCTCTCGCCAGCAAGAGGCTTCTCGAGCATGTCCTCTCCTTCGTTGTGAGTCCTCTGCTCTCATCCTCGCAGTTTCTTCAGTCCACTCATTTTATTCCTTAAAATCATTGTTTCTCACAGCAATTCATGAAACCTCACAACAAAATTCTATACACTCTCCATGAATGCATGCTTCTGCCCGATTATACATGAGCATCTTGAACAAGCAACAAACATCCCGAAAGGATCTTAAAACCTGCACATTAATTTCACAAAGCCCAATCTTTTCCATCCTCATTAACTACAAGAGAAACAGCCCATCTCCCTCGTGTACGAGAACGAGCGTTGGCAGAAGACCATTCGCTACTTCCTCACCCATCACGGCCAACGCATCACCTCCCTCCACCTCATCTTCACGGAAATGGACCAGCTCCCCTCCCTCCGCCCCTTGATCGCTCGCTGCAGCTCTGCCCTGTCCTCGTTCAGCCTTAAGTGGCGAGGATTCGTGAGCATGTTCGAGGAGCATGAGTACAAGGACTGGACGCTCAGCTTCCTTCAAGACTGCTTGCAACTGCAGCGCCTGAAGCTCGGCCGGGGCATGTGGAACCTGGACAAGGGCTGTGCGAATGCCGCGTGGCTGAAGTCGATCCATTGCCTGACCCTCAAGCAGGTGGATATGAGCCATGTAAACTTCGAATATCTTGAGTGTATCACACCGCAGCTACACGAGTTCACGCTTTACCAGCACTGGCACCTCTCCCGCTGGCCCGTATTTGGCTCCCACGCTATGACCTTCTCCTTTCCCAACGCCCGCCTCCTTCGCTTCCGCTTTGCCAACAACGAGTTCAAGCTCACCCTCTCTGTCTCTTCAGCGCTCAAGACTCTCTCAGTGATGGCCTCTCTGGCTAGTCCTCTCCTGCACGAGCAGCGCTCCTCTCGCACTCGACCACCTCTCACTATACGGCCAGGAATGTCTTGTCATTTCCTCCCTCCGCCTCGCATCTGCGCGAGCCGTGTACCTCAACGGTTCAGCCAGCGATGAGGACTCCAGCTGCCCCATGATCTCCTACCAGTTGCCCCCCTACTGGCAGCACGTTCCTCGCGGCGTTTTCGGCTTTTCTTAGACCAAATGGCTGCGCTCTATATCGCAAAACGTGGAGGTGCTTGTAGTGAGGCATGGGATTCCGATTGAGGAGGTGGGTGTGGTGTGGAGGAATCTGCGCAGCCTTGGGATTGTCATGCATGCGGAGGGGCCGCACAATAAGGAGTGGGAGGCGACGGTGGAGAACTACAGGGCGTTCATGGAGGACAGGGAGTTTGATGATGATCTGGATGAGGACGGTGGCTGGGGTGGCTGTTATGGTGATGATGACGACGAGGATGAGGATGATGAGGATGAGGATATGGGGGATGGTTCTGATGATGACGAGGAGTATGGGGGGAGGGGTTACGGTGGAGGAAGGGGAGGGAGTCGCAAGAAGAAGGCCCCTGCGAAGCCGCCTTCTATCGGTGCCCCGAATGTGCGGTATCTCTTCTTCCCCTCTCGCAAGGCGTGTGATGCCGCCACGCTAGCTGCACTGCGGCAGGACTACCCCGCCCTGGTGCTCTACTGTGTGGTGGACCGGTCCTACTGGGAGAGGAAGGGCGAGATGGTGAACAATGCGCCGCTCAAGCATGTGCGGCAGGCGAAGAGCGGGGTGCTACGGGACAAGTTTGATGACAAGAAGCAGCCGAAGAACGTGAGGGAGAAGATGTATAGTGTAAATAGGAAGCTGGTGGAGGGGTACAGTGCTGACGAGGACGAGGCACACATGTTTAAGTACAAGGGAAGATTTTAGGAGATGCAACATAGGGTATTCTGGATAAATTGCATGCTGGAACATGATCTCCAGTTTTACGACAGGTATTTTTCTGTGGCCAAGCTAATTTCTAAGTGAGACTTCGCGAGTTGATTCGAGGTGAAAACATTTGATCTAGATGGTGCTTTGGGAATGTTGTGTATGTCTTTGTCGGTTTCTCATTTTTGTTACTTCACTAGCCATTTGTTATTGTCAAATATATGCATATCATTATCTAGGCTATATTGGGGATAGCCTTAGGGGGTACACAAAACTTTCATTATACCCTAGTCTTGTACCCAACCCTTCACCTAATCAACTAATTCTTGCCTTAGTTCTTAACATGGAAATAGAGTAGGAGGTCTCTAGGACCTACGAATCGGGCCCACCTAGCTGCCTGCCTTGCCTACTGCCTGCGCGGGCCTCGCCTGCAGCGCGCATCACTCTTTTTTTGCGCACGCCTAGCCTAATAGCGCGCGCGCCACTGTTTTTAGCGCGCGCCACTACTATAGCGCCGCGCACCGGCCCGCGTCCCCCGCGCAGCCCGTGTAGAGCCCGCGTAGAGCCTGCGCAACCCGACGCCGCACGCAACCCGCCGTCGCCCTGCGCGCCGTGTCTGTCACCAACGCGGCCCGCCGCTGCGCCGCGCGTCGCGTCGGCCGCCTGCAGCTGCTTAACGCGCTGCCTTAGGAGCTCGCGTGCGGCCGCTCCTGCCTGCTGCCTGCTGTCTTCTGCCTGCTGCTTGCTGTCTCCTGGTTGCTGCCTGCTGCCTCAGTCTTTGCTTGTGGCCTGGTGCCTACTGCCTATTGTCTGCTGCCTGCTGCCTCCTGCCTCTGCCTACTGCCATTATGATGACCCCGAATGTTCTCACGTTCGAGCCTGACTGTCGCCCCATAGAGTTCACGGTTCGGTTAGATGATCTCCAACTGTTCCTTCTGACCGATGCCAAAGAGGGCGTTTCATTGTTCGATAACGTGTTTGGCACTGCTGTTGCTCCTGCTGGCGATGCTCCTGCTCTTGAAAACTCGCAATGGCAAACTCGTGATGCCGCTCCACGCCTAGCTATTAGGAACCATCTGCCGATTACTAAGCGCGCGCATTCCAGCCAGCAAAAAACTGCTAAGAAGCTGTACGACGTTGTAGTTGCGCGCTACTCCTCCCCGGCCATTGCAGCCATAGGTCGTCGCATGCTACCCTACCTATTCCCCGACCTTTCCTTGTTCACCACTGCTGAGGACCTCATTTCCCACCTGCGCGCTACTGACACTCGCTTTCATGCCGCCCTTTTAGCGGAGTTCTGCGCAGCTACCCCCCCCGCCCCCCCCGATGTACTTCACTCTCTATTTCCTCGTCACCCGCCTCCCTGACACTCTTAGCTCAGTCAGGGACCACTTCCTCGCGCTAGACCCCCCCACTCTCATTGTCAATGACTTCAAGAAGCACCTCCTTGCAGCAGAGAAGAACATCCTCGCTGTAGGTGCTGCTCGTGGCACTCCTCGCTCTCCCCTCTTTGAGGGGTGCTCCCCCTCCCCTCTCACCCCCTCCTATGCCTCCGCAGCTGCTGCTCAGGACTACCTTGGTGCTGAGGAGGTCGGAGCTGCTTCCGCTCCTAGTGGGAAGCGTCGCAACGGCAGGGGCGGCAAGGGTGGCAGGGGCGGTCGGGGTGGCGGTGGGGTGGCAGTGGTGCAGGCGGCGGGGGAGGTGGAGGTGGTGGGGGTGGTCGTGGGGTTGGAGGCAGTGGAGGTGGTGGTGGGGCGGTGGAGGCGCTGGGAGCGGTGGAGGGGGTAGCAGCGGTGGTGGGGGAGGAGGGAGCAGTGGTGGTAGTGGTGGTCAAGGCCAGCAGCAGAAGCTGCAGCAGCAGCAGCAGTAGCGTCAGCGCCAGACCCCCACTTCCCAGCAACTTCTTGACTGGTATGCCGGGCGTGGGGCTTCTGGGGGTCCTGGTCGCTGCCCCTATATCATTCGCACAGGTCCCCGCACTGGTCGCCAGTGCACAGGTTATCACACTGAGCAGCGCTGCTTTGCTCGGCTTAGCGACGCCTGGTGCGCCAAGTTTCCTGATGCTCTTGAGTTCCCCAACTGGGCAGAGCTACTTAGGCGTGATGTACCTATATTTGATCTTGACTATGAGGCTATTCTAGCTGCTATGTATGCATTGTCTGTTAGTGCAGAGGGTGACTGCTACTTGTGTGTGCCGCCGGATCCTGGTATAGTCCCTGGTATAGCGCCTGCAGCACTAGGTGCTTGTGAGTCTGCTCCCCCTGGTACTGCGCCGGCACAGGCCTTGCACACTTTTACACTTGACTCTGGTGTTTCTTGTTGTTTCTTTTGCGACAGTACCAGAGTCACTCCCCTCCCTGCACATGTTCCCGTCTCACTGGCTGACCCCTTTGGGGGCCTAGTGCTTGCACGGTCTTCCACTGTGCTTCCGTGTCCGGCGGTCCCATCTGGTGAGCTGTCTGGTCTCCACATCCCCTCGCTCTCTACGAACTTGGTGAGCAACGCTGTCCTCTAGGATGTGGGGGTTGACACCTTCACCCCTGGCCGGCAGCGTATGGCGATTTGCATGTGCTCTGAGACCGGCCGCCACCTAGCCACGTTCACTCGTGCGCCGGGGTCCGGTCTGTACACCCTCACCACTGCGTCACGCTCCGCCCCTTTGTCTCCCCAGTTACACGCGTCGGCTGAGGTAGCTACCAAGTGTGAGTGTCGCCGGCTGTCGTACGACACTCTCTTGTGGAACCACCGCCTTGGTTACCCCTCCCTACCTCGCCTGCGCAGCATGCATTCTCGCTTCCTGGTCTCTGGTCTTCCCAGGTCTCTGCCTGCCCTCCCTCCCTCGCCCTGCATTCCTTGCGTCAAGGGGCGGCAGCGCGCCGCTCCTCACTCCTCCTCGTTCCCTCCCACAGAGGCTCCCCTGCAGACTCTCCACTTGGACGTGTGGGGCCCAGCCCGCGTCCGTGGACAGGGTCACGAGCGGTACTTCCTACTGGTTGTTGAAGACTACATGCGTTACACCATGGTCTTCCCCTTGCAGCGCAAGGGGGATGTCTCTGATATTTTGATCCCCTGGATCCGCGCTGCTCGTCTCCAGCTCTGCAAGCGGTTCCAATCGGACTTTCTTGTCCTGCGTCTGCACTCTAACAGAGGTGGTGAGTTCTCCTCAGACCTCTTGGCGGCCTTCTGTGCGGAGCACAACATCCGCCAGACTTTCACGCTTCCGGCCTCTCCGCAGCAGAATGGGGTTGCTGAGCGCCGCATTGGCTTGGTCATGGAGGTCGCTTGTACCTTCATGATCCATGCGGCTGCCCCCCATTTTTTGTAGCCGTTTGCGGTCCGGTACGCCGCGCATCAGCTCAACCTCTGGCCCCGTGTCTCCTTGCCGGAGACCTTGCCCACACTGCTGTGGACGGGGAAGGTTGGCGATGCGTTGCGTTTCCGGGTCTGGGGTGCCCGTGCCTTTGTCCGCGATACCACTACGGACAATCTCTCCCCTTGCGCCATTCCTTGCGTCTTCCTTGGCTTTGTCCCTAGCGCGCCTGGCTGGCAGTTTTACGACCCCGCCTCGCGCCGTGTCTTTGCCTCCCAGGACATAACCTTTGACGAGTCAGTCCCCTTTTACCACCTCTTCCCCTACCGCACTTCTCCTCGCCCCCTCCCGCCACTCTTTCTTGCCCCAAGTCCTCCCCAGGTAGACCCCCTCCCTGCGCCAGGCCCTGCTCCTTCAGGTGTTTCTCAGGTAGACCCTCCCGTCCCTACGCCTGTTGCGGTCACTGGTGACTCCGGTTCTGCTGGGAGTGGTGCTGTCTCTGGGGGTGCGGAGCTTCGGGGTGCGCAGCGTGGGGGTGCTAAGTCTGGGGGTGCTGAGCGTGAGGAGCCTAAGGGTGCGGAGCCTGGGGGTGTTGAGACTGCGCGTGAGGAGCCTGGAGGTCCTGAGCCTGGGGGTGCTGCGTCTGGGGGTCCTGCGCCTCTGTGTGCGGAGCTTGGGGGTGCTGGGTCTGAGGGTGAGTTGCCTGAGGGTTCTGAGACTGCTGTTACGCGGTCTCCTTGGAGTAGCTGTCTTCGTCCGCATGTGCCTCTCACCTCCCAGTAGCTGCACGACTGGTACGGTCGCCGTCAGCATCGCGCTTCTGCACTACAGGGCTCTACTACTGGGGGTTCTTCTGCTGGCGTCACTAGAGCTGGGAGTGGTGCTGGTCCTTTGCTTGCTGGAGGTGCTGGTGTCACTGGTCCCGGAGGTGCTCGTACTGGGGGTAATGGAGCTGCTGGGGCTGGCGGTGCTGTGTCTGAGGGTACTGTTGCTGGTGGCACTGCGGTTGGAGACCCTGCGACTGGGGGTGCCGGTTCTGGGGATGCTGCACCAGAAGGGGCTAGAGTTGCTGGGGGTGCTGGAGCTGCTGGAGGTATTGGAGCTGCTGAGGGTACAGGAGCTGCTGGAGGCGCAGGAGCTGCTGGAGGTATTGAAGCTGCTGAGGGTGCTAGAGCTGCTGGTGGTGCAGGAGCTGCTGAGGGTGCTGGAGCTGCTGGTGCTGGTGGCACTGCACATCTGCGCCTATTCTTTGGTCCGCCATCTCCGTCGTCTCTGCCACCGCCTGCCTCCGTGCTTCATCAGGTTCTTAGCTTCCCATCGTCTACTGGTCTTCCATTACAACCTGGCTCACCTCTGCCTGCTCCTTCTCCTTACCCTAAGCACACAGGGGGGCTTACTAAGCTTCGTGAGCCTACGTCGCGTCCTGTCTCACCTGTCCATTATGGTCGTTCCAGTCGTCGTGTTCCTCCTCACCGTCAGCCGGCTGTCCCCGGCCCTTCCCTTGTAGTCCGTCGTCCTTCCTCCCCTCCGCAGAGTGTTCCCCTGCCGTCTCCTCCTGTGTCTTCTCTGCCTGTTGTTGCGGACCCTGAGTCCGACCAGTTTCGTACTGAGCACCCTACTGTCACGCGTCTGCTAGCCACTATTGTCGGTGACCCGTCGTTTGAGTCCACTGCTGCGTCTGCCCTAGTCG